CTGTATTTACATTAGTTTTGCCGTTGTCATCACAGCTCAGTGATTCTTAAAAAAGGCCAAATTGCTAAAGGAAATGCAAAGAGATCCATTTAAGATTTCAAACACCCTCCTGCACACCTGTCCTCTCACAATTTGGGTTCTAAGCACAGCAGCAACAAAGGTTGCTCAGGGTGCTCCTGAGATCTCTTCTCTTTGAGTGCCGAAGAGTCAGTAGCAGGGATCATGTCTCAATTCTGTGGAGGATTCAGGGGCAGGACACAGGCTGAGCAGCCATTTGAAGATGCTCTGAGAATTTTGAAGGCTGGAGAGGCACTGGGGGCAGAGGGGCAGGTGGCTCTTAGTGAGGTGCAGGGAGAAAGGGTCAGATGCTGAACTTGAAGAGGCTGTCAAGCAAAAACTGGGGGTTGAATTAAGAGAGGCAGCTTCAGATCTTCCAGCTATGAGTCATACAAATCATAAACTACTTGAAATATTTCACCTACTCATACATCTCCTTTATCTTTAACCTCTTCCCTCTCTTTAGTAGTTATTCTCCTGTACTGCTTTCTTTCAAGTCACACCCTGCACTGTTTTCCTGCTTCCTCATCCCATTTTGGTATCTTTCTTCTGCTGAGCAGTCACTACAATTTGCAGATCTTTGACATTTTTGGAAAAACTACAAGCAGTACTTCTGAGCTTTGGTCACTGTATATTTGGTCTATATGATGACACAGTACTAAACTGTTTTTCAAAAAAAATTACTTGTGAAACAAACTAAATTATTTTTTTAAAGTATACACTACCCACATACATGCCCTCAATCTGATAATGAATTTGTGCTATTTATATTCATAGCAAATTGGTGATATTCAACATTTAGAATGCAACTGAGGTCCTACTCTTTTATCAGGTGGAAGGGAGATAAATACTCAAGCAAGTTATTCAGCTAGACTCAAAAAAGTCTCAAGGAAGTTATTCAGCCAGAAAGAAGATCCCTAGGAGCTCTGAGGTGTGGATAGGGTGGTTTTGTTCTGAGGCTGAGTGAACCAGTGAAGAGTCTCCAAAGCAGAAAAAGGTGAGAAGTGCCCAGACTTCTGCAGTGTTATCTCCAGCTCACAGCACAGTGGCTGAATGTCACCTGCTGCCCTTGTGCTGTGGGTGAAGTGTTGAGGGGCACACACCCCTTCTTGGGACTGGGAAATGTGTCCTGAGACTGCTGTGAGGCATTGAAGTGGCCGAATGGAGCAAAGCCTTCCCCAGCCCTTCTGTTTTACAGGGTCATGGCACATATTGAGTTTAAAGCTAGAAACAAACATCTGCCAGGCCAGGCTTCTGTCAGGAGCCTGAGAGCTGCAAGGATCTCGGAGCATGACAGGGCAGTCTCCAATTCATGTGCACTGGGATTGGGGTAGCACTTGGGAAACTAAAATTTGTAGGCTACAATTGTCAGGAGAGCATCCCACAGAAAGGGACTTCCTTTGATGTTCATCTGGATGTTGTACAGGAGGTGGGCAGTACAGAGCTCACCTCCTCTGAATGGAAAAAGGTGTTATGAAGAAAAATGTGCTTGCCTGCTTTTTGATGAGATGGGGAGAAGGACATCAACTCAGTTTCTGAAAGGGTAGGAAAGCATGCACCTCCACCCCCATTCCAGCAGGACTGCCTGGGGAAGGGGCTGGTTGTGTAGCAGGTGGTCTTGTTTTGGAAAAAAACTTGCTTTCTTCTAAATGCCTACTGACTGCTGCCTGTCAGTGACATATAGGTCCTGCACACCAATACTCTGCAATGCTATTTCTGCACTGCCTATCTTCACTTCATGCAGAGAAAACTGAAGTGGCATCTATCAGTTATTCCAACAGAGTCAAAAACTCCTAATACTTTAAGTCCAAAAGAAGAGTTTATCATGCTTTGTCAGGAAATGTCTGATACCAGGTAATTCTTTCTTTTTGCAATGATCTATTTCAAAACTGATGTGAAATACAGGCATGAAACAGCTTGCATTGTTTTTACTGCATTTCTTTTGATTGTGCTACACCATGAAAGAAAAACAAACACATTCAAAAAGCAGACACTCCCAGGCTCCACATCTGCAAAGTGCAGTAGAGTTGTTTAGGTCTCCAGACTCCATCCTGTATCTATTTAAACATAGATGTTTCTATATTTATGTGAAGTCTCTTGCAAGTAAGGGAACAAAGCCTAGTCCAGACTCTACTCTGGAAGGTACATTCAAGTTTAGATTTTTTGCTAGAAAATACCAGATAGAGTGTGTCCTTAGTTTTGTTTTATATTGGACCAAATTATAAATGTTGAATCTGGAGAATTGGAAATCTCAAATGTCTGCACATGACCAGTGGATCTGATATATTCCTTTAGTGTTATTGCTGCTGTTTTTGAGGGACAGGAATTCGAGTCACCTGCAGGTCAAACCTGCTGAGAATAGGGACCACAGTCCCTCAGAGCCTGTTGTGCCTTCAGTGACAGTTCACTGAAAGCAAGATGCTCTGAACAAAACATTCTGGCTGCAAAACACTATTCTGGGTTTTTTAAATGATGCTGTTTTGCCAAATACCTCCTGACCAGATCTAGTTTTGCTCTCTGATCCCTATCCTATTCCTGTGCAGGAAAAAACCCAGACTCATTCACCATGCTAAATCTTCAATAGCTTAACAAAAAAAAGCAATACAAAATTAAATTTTATACAATTTCTACCACAATCCTCCCAAAACCTGGAATGATCCAAACAAAAACTAGAGAGGCCTATCTACTATCTATTAATTTTTTTTGACAACTGATAGTCCATATTATGGACTAAGGATCCATTATTCTTTTGGGTGTAGATACACTTCATAATTACATCCTGAGCTGTGACAAAGTGGCTGCCAGGCAACACAGCTGTCAAAACTACATTGCAGGGCAGTTGGAAAGCACAAATCAAATATAATAAGAGAAATATTTGGGACACCATGTGGGATTGTTATAATCACTCTTGTCCTTGCAAAAGTGTTGGTGCCAATGTTGCCAATTGGGACTCCCAGATCTCTCCGGCATTTTGAGGACTGCAGCACACTTTTTGTCTAAAGGCTGCCACTATCCTGTCTCTTCTCTGTCTTTTGTGTCAGCAATAGGCATCATTGCAATGGGCTGTATCACTCTGCTAAAATAGGTGATTACTTTTTTACACTTAACTTTTCAGATCCCTTACAGGCTAATGTAAAGGGCAGTAGCAGCAGAAAGGAGGTGATGCCAGAATGTGGCTAGAGCAAACCCTGTTCCTTTCAAGAGTACTCAGGCTGGCCTGATTCACACTGCTCAACAAATCATGCACAAAGGATGCAGTTAAGTTGATTTAACTTCTACTGAAATGAGCAGTTCTGCTTTACCTCACTTCCAGGTTTCTGCCTTCCTTGATCCTGCAGCTGCAGGGTCACAAGGTGGATCAATTCAGCTGTCTGGCCAATGGAAAATCCATTATTTTCTGAGGTGCTATTTCTCCACCAGACTGATCAGCTGAATGGAGTCTGATGGTTACCAGATCCCACGGAAGGGTGGCAAAAGGAGGAACACATCCATGGGTTGCAGGTGGGATCACTGTTTCACAGCAACCTGTGGTCAGGCCAGTGCTGCTGAAAAGCCAGGCTGCTGCTGCATTCAGGTGACAGATAATCCAATGTCACACTGATGCTGGAAAGGCTGTTCTCTGTCTCTGCATCTGGACACAGGCTGGGCACATCTGCCATCTCTCTACTGTGGGTGACCCTGTGATCCCACAGGAGCTGGTTTAGGGAACACATAATTGGTGAAAACAACCTATTACTTTTTTACATTTTTTCCCCCAAGGTTAGTGTCATGGTTAAGCTAATTCCCTGTGGGGTTGGAGGAGTTCTAGGGTGAGTCCTGAAACCAGTGGGACCTCTTGGGACATATTAGCTATATCTAACATGGCTATGAAATTGGCTTGACTATGTCATTATCTACTCAGAATTTAGGCACTGGTAAATTCGCCCTGGATGAGCAGGTCAGCCTTATTTGTAGCTTTGAGGCAGAAGATGTATGTAAGGGAGACCTACATCACCATCAAGTCTGTGATCTAAATAAGAGAGAATAGAGTCTGGCAGAGAGGAAGCAATTTCTGTACCATGAATTAGAAAAGGCAGGCTCCAGAGACTAAATAAAGTCCTTGTAACTCACGGAACTGAATTCTAGACTAGTCTTTTACAAATAGTAAGGGAATTGGTTTCTGTCATTGAGAGTTCTCTTGTAGGGATTACCTGAATGACTGGAAGCAAGTCATTCACCTGGGATGAACTGCTTGGTTTCCCCAGTAACAATGCTGGCTGGCACTGGACGATGAAACACCTCCTGGAGTCAAAAAAACCACAAACCACTGGGAAGGGAACAGAAAAGGTCTTCACCCCTTCCAGCCATAAATAAGCACTGGACCAGAGGGTAACTCGGGCAAGTGGGAACGTGAGGAGGCCTCCAGCCCAGGTAGGCTCAGTGCTTGGGGGTCACACCAGGCTGCCTGGGACTTCCTTCGGCCCCGTCTGGACAGCCTCCAGGAGGAAGCTGAGGCCAGCCAGCCCCTGGAGGAGCCCGAACCCCTCTCTCCTCGGCTCGGACCCGCCGTCTCTGAGCGGGCTGGCCGCTCCCTCACGTGTTCTCGCCGTGGGTGCGGGTCGGTGCGGGGCGCCAGGTGGGGACAGCCCGGGCGGCAGATCCCTGAGCGCAAAGGAGTTAACAGGACTTTTCTGCCTTTCCCGCCCGCGCCTCCTCCACCCTCCTCATTACCTGCACTTTATCACCGCCGGAGCCGCGGGGCGGGAGCGGTGCAGGGCCGGCGGGGCTTCCTGCGCCGCCCGCGGCGCTGGGGCCGCGCCGTGCGGGGGAAGGTGCGCGAGTGCTGCGCGCTGCGTGCGGGGGAGCGCCCGTGTGCCGTGTGCCCGCCCGCCCTGTGCCTGCCCGCCCGCCCTGTGCCTGCCCGTGGGTGGGAGCGCGGCTGGGCTGCGGCCGGGGGAAGGCGGGCGGGCGAGCGGGTCTGCGCGCCGCAGCCCGGCCGGGATGCGGCATGGCCGTGGGCTCCGTGAAGATGCCGTCGCCGTGTGAGGGCGCGGAGCTGGCCCGGAGCTGGAGCCCCGGCGGCGGAGCCCAGGAGCCGCCGCCGCCGGTGCAGCTGCGGCAGAAGCTGCGGGAGCTGCCGGCGCTGCTGCGGAGCGGGCTGACGCTGCGGAGGAAAAGCGCGGCCGCGGCTGGCCGGGTGAGTGAGTGAGTGAGTGAGTGAGTGAATGAGTAAGGAGAGAGCGAGGGAGCGGCCGGCGGCCCGGGGCAGCGCCCCCGCCCTGCCCTGCCCTGCCCGCCGGGCTGCGGTGCCCGGGGCAGGCGGGGCGGCGCCCGCAGCGCCCCCGGCCGGGCCGCGGAGCGCGGGAGGCCGCGGGCTCCCGGCGCTGGCCCCGCGAGGGGCCGGGCGGCGGCAGGGCAGGAAGGAGGGAGGGAGGGAGGAAGGGAGGATGCCCGGGCAGCAGCCGGGTGGCGTCTCGGCACCCACCGGAGAGGTGTCCGCGGGGGGCCCCGGGCTCCAGCCGCCACTGCCAGCTCTGGTGCAACATGAGACACCAGGGTGAGAAAGCGTCCCTGTCCCATCTCCGGGTTCCTCCAGTGGCTCTCCCCCTCCGTCCTTTTCCCCTCGTGGGGGCTGATGCCTGCTCCCCGCGCACAGCAGGTACAGCGCGCCGGTGCCCCGACACCGGTGCCCGCGCGGGTCCAGCAGCGAACACCAGCGTGCCCTGGGGCGGGTGAAGCTGGGATGGAGCTGGGATGAGCACACCTGGCCCTCAGCCTCGCGTTCTCTTGGCACTGAGGCCGTGGGGTCACCTGGGCATGACCGGGATCCCCATCCAAATTTCACTTAATTTCACCCATTTTTAGAAAGGCTGGGGGTGTGTCTCCGCAGGGCAGTCAGTGCTCTGGTGAAGTACAGCCTGGTGCTGCCGTGGCTGGGAACTGCAGTGGCAAGCAGGTGCCCATGGCTCTGAACACTCCTAACCGGGGGTGGCATTGCCGTCAGATCAATGGCAGTCAGTCTGGTCAGACCCTACTTGCAGGCCAACAGTGGATTGTAACCCATCTCCTGAGCGTCAAAATGAAGGGATGGATTAATCCACATGGGGTTGGGTCTGTCCGTATTGAGAATCAGGTGAGCTGCTGTTTTGTTTCAGTGCACTGATAAACACCTTTGCAGAGAGTTGGGGGAAGTCAGCATGGTATGTGTTTGTACCCTAATCAACTTTGCAGTACTTTGCCCGTGTAAATAAATGATTTCTCTGCATGGGGAAGTTGTGAAATATACCAGGGTGTGAATTTCAAACCAAACTTCCTGGGTGAATGCTTTGTTATAAGAGGATATATAGGCAAGGAAGATAATTAGGATTAAGGTAGGATATAAATTCACAATATAATAGCTGTGGAATTAGAATTCTAGAATTCTACAGTAGAATAGCTGTTGAATTAGAATTATAAATCCACAGTAAAATTTTTGAGTAATGTGGATTCAGATTCCAGTTTTACAGTAATTGTTTTCCTCTAGCACATTCAAGACACAAAGACTAACCTGTATTGAGATGTCTAATGAGTTTTATTTTTGTGGTGAATTAATAATCCACCTGATTACAATCTGAGTTGTCCATATGAACACAGAGCTAAGGGGATTCAGTTAAACAGATAGGTCTTGCTTTGCCCTAGGAGGATATTTGTGACAGATATCCTTCTTCCAATGAAGAAAGTCCTTTTCTGAATTGAGTGTGGTTTGTTCCTCATTAGAAGCATACTGCCAAAGAAATGGAGTAAGTGTGAAGTGAGGAGGAGAGAAGCAGTGCAGAACTGCTGCTGGTGACAGCTTTAGCTGGCAGGCAGGTCTGAAGCACTGTTTTAACAAAACAAATTCATGACACTTCAGGGAGACACCATGCAGAGCAGCCTCAGGTTTACTCTCGTGGTTATTCCTCACCACTACTGAAAGCATTTGACAAGCAAGCGGTAAAACAGTTACTGTGTAAATATTTACTGTGGGTGAGTTACCACCCCAGTGAGAACCCTGGGTAACTCCTGGGTGACACAGCTCCTCACTTGTGCTTGATGAACCCTTGGTCCTCTCTTGTTTCACAGAGTTCCAGCGAGACTCTTGTCTGCCTTTGCTGATGTTCTGTGTTATGGACCAGCAAACACGGTGTGACAGATTTAGTGGTGGTGTCACCTATGGCTTCACCTCCTGGTACCCTGTGGGTCATCTTGTAAAGTTTTTCTTGAACCATCTGTCTTGGTAGGAAGACTGGAGGGAGGATGGTGAGTCTGTAAGGTAGTCTGGAGTCAACCTAGCAGATTTTCTGCTAGGAAGAAATTTTTTACTGTGAGGGTGGTGAGGCACTGCAACAAATTGCCCACAAAAGCTGTGGATGCCCCATCCCTGGAAACATTCAAAGGCAGGTTGGACAGGGCTTTGACCAACCTGGTCTAGCAGAAGGTCCCTGCCCGTGGCAAGGGGGCTGGAACTAGATTGTCTTTAAGGTCTCTTCCAACCCAGTCCATTCTATGATTCTCTGACCTTGGATCAGTGGGAGATGCTGTGTGGAGATGCTGCATAGCTACAGCAGGACCTTCGGAGCAGTGTCTTGGTCCCATGTGGGGAGTGGGGATGCTGTGCTCTGCCATCTCTGGGTTTGCAGGGACTATCCTGGAGGCAGAATTACTCAGCAGGATAAGTGCCTAGTGGGGTCTTCCAAGGAGCAGGTGATACAGAGTCCAGCAGGGTTGTTAATTCACTTGTTCCCTTTGGAGACAAAGTGGGCACCTGAAATGCATGGAGTATCTCCCTACATGTGTGATTATCCAGGGAGCAGTTTGTTTTTGTTAGTAGTGCTCTGTGTTGATTCCTGTCTGCTCTGTGCATGTGTCTTTTCCTCCCAGAAATGGACTTTTAGGCACATCATACTTTTCACATACTTCTATTTAATCTGATTAATAACTTGAACCCTGAAAATGAGAGTGTTTGGAAGAGAAAAGGGATATGTTAGAATAGTAAAATGCAGCATTTTTTATACTTTCCCTTTTAAACATGACCCTAAAATTTTAAAAGTCTAAAATAAAGGAGTAACACAAACATATGAAACAAAGATTCCTTTTTTTCCCCACCTCAACAAAGTATTTCAAGTTAATCCAAAGTTAATTTTCAGAGGGTTTTGTTTGCTTATGAAAAAAACTTAGTCTATTCTTCCTCTCCAGTGACTTTTCTTTGTGCCTTTTTGCTTGTTCAAACACCAAGCTGAGAGCCTTATTTGTCCAGCTGGTTTTATCAGGAGTGTTGCTCACTTAGGTGAGCTGTTTTCAAGTAAATGCTGACCAGCTGAAATCTGGGCTTGTTTAATTTCCTTGAAAAATATTATGACCCCTGAACAGGGGTTCTGCTTCTTATGCTGACTTGCTCAGGGACTGCCTGCAGTGCAATTCGCTTCCACATCTATAAAGCACAGATAATCTACATGTGTGCATGCCTGGGGACTATGGATAATAAAAGATAATGGAAGTGTTAAGGGTATCATAATTGTTTTAAGGATGTGCTTCACTTCATGCTGTTCAAATACTTCCTGGGCTTTGGGGGAAAGGAAAGCATTGTGTAGTAGAGGGTAGTATACATTAAAAGAATTGATTACATTTTGAAAATCAGTATGGGGTGAAATAAATTTTTTCAATCTGTTTGGACACCTCAGTTCTTGGCCCTTCACACTAGACTATCTGAAATTTGTGACCAGAGATGGGGATAATTGAAAATACAGCGTAACAAAATTAGATTTCCCTCTCAATTCAGCAATCTCCAAAACTGGAGAGAAAATAGGTATTTTTTGCTTTCTGTCTTGGGATACGTCCAGTACTAATACATGTAAAGAAGCTGGAGATGGAAAAGCACCTTGTATAAAAAGCTGCATAACCATCCTGCTTGGATGGTTCTGTGCTGTGAATAGTAAACATGAATACACTCCACTGCTTCAGTCATTTAGATAAAACAAACATCCAGTTCCTTGTCTAGGGGAGCCCAATGTTTCTTTTAAAGCTCTTGAACTTCAAACTGTACATAGACCTTGTCTTTGATTTTTTTTTTTCTTATATTCATTCTTAGGGCAGGTGTAGCAGTTATCCAAGATGGCATGGATGATTAGATTGCATTTGCACAGTGAGCTGTGAGGTGTAGGTTTTACTCATCATCCTCTGCCGGATAAAACAGCAGAAAATGCAACCTTTGCTTGTCAGAGCTTGTGCAGAGGTGGAGGAGGGATCTGTTGTAGTGGTCATTGTGCCCTGGGGAACTGTTCCCCTCTGCCATGTCCTTTCTCAAAATCTCTGGAAAGGCCCTTCTGTTTCCCAATTTTCCTCCTAGAGTTATGTGTTGAACGTACATGTAGTAGTCAGGAGTACTTTGCTTATGAACTGTCTTTCCTGATCTTCTTACTGCCTGTTAAAGATACCTTCTTCTCTTTTCTCTTGTGGCTAGTGATGAAATACAGTTCCATGCCTCTGGAAGCACCAGCAGGGAGGCCCTGTAGGCCACTCCATCATGGCAAAATTTTTCACCACACTCAGTTTCATTCTTTATGGATCTAACACTGGAAGTGCTCAGGAGGAGGAGGAATTGTCTTGTACACACACAGGCACACACCTTTTTAATCACCTCTTCTACTCTCTAGGTTCACATTTACACACAGATAAATACTGTTATACATGAGCATCAATGTTGTTCTTTGTCACAACAGTGGATCTGGAAAACCTTTTGGATGTCATGGTGTCAAACCCCATTACTCTGATATTGTGAAAGATCCTGTTGGTCTGTAGAAACCTTCATCATGGGATGAACCTTTTGGTTTGATCAAAATTGAAGAGATACTATGACTATTATCTCTTTTGATACCTTGTAGTTACTTCTGTGAGGTTCCTAGAGGTCTTTGGCCAGACAGATGTTCTCAGACTGTCCACACCTTAGCTTTGTCTTGAGCAGCTATTTTGCTGTATGGCTGTCAGGATGTAACTGACGGTAGGGTTACAGGTTGAAAATAAACTACAGAAACTGCCATACAGCTGCTAAAAGTGTACATGAGTTCAGGGTGAGTCTGGAAAAGTTAATGGAAGAGAAATGTATTGAGGATACATAACCCTCATCAGGCACAGAAGGTTTCCAAGCTGAAAATAGCTGGAGGGTTGGAGTGCATTAGGGAT